GTGGTTCTGATTCATCCTTCTGGAAATGAACCCATTCTTCCCCCTTCCTCCCCAAGCAAGCAGAGAAACACTAAATTAGAACCGTTAGGAAGAGAAGAGAATTAGTCCATTGGAACAAATTTTGTGATTTCAGAAACTGAATTTTATAAAATTACAGTGGTCAAAAAGCATTTAGTAATTAAGAATTATGACCATATTAGGAATCACTTGCAAACACTCTTACCAAAAGGGCTTAGCATGGCCTTTGTACCCCTCAGTGGAACTCTACGCCACCCACAAGTAAGAATAAGCTAATTTATAGTTGATTAGTCTCTCTTTCTGAGGTCTAGAAACAAGTGTGAAAGCACTCTTTTTATAGGTAATTTTCTCTTCTCAAATACCTGCAAGTGTGATTGATGGGTATGGCAAGAAACAGTTAGATTTGGAGAGCGGACTTTACTGAATAAAGTAAATTAAGTTCTTTACTTGAATGAAGTAGAGAAAAGAAGACATGTTGAGATTTGCATTCAAAGCAAAAGATGGAAGATAATCTTAAAATAAAATACGGAAACTAACACTTTAGGGGCACCTGTTAGCAACAACCTCAAGGGGGTATAATCAGAATAATCCAGAACAGTAGAAATTCTACAGGACAAGTAACCCAGTTTCTTTCAGAAATGATTCGCAAGAAACTAAAAAACGGAGGAGGAGCAAAGCTAAGTTAAAGAAACTTAGGAAAAATGTTAGCTAAATACAAGGTGTAAACTCTAATTTGATCCAGATTGGAATAAACTGTGTGTGTATATACATACATGATGAGATCATCAAGGGGGAGGGAAACATGATGCCCTTGTACATTGACAATACTAAGATAAAATATTTTAGATGTATTATTGATATACAATTTACAGGTGAAAATACTGAAGGAGGAAATACCTGGTATGTGATGTGATGTGACCTAGTGGGGAGAGAGTGGAATAGAGATATAAATGCAAAAAGATGGGCTGGCTTTGATTATTAAAGTGGGTGATGGGTACATCGGGCTCATATTATTGTCACTACTTTTGTGAACATTTTAAGTGGTTCATAATAAAAAGTTGTTAAAATAAAAAAACAAAACATTAAGCACAAATACAGTACTATGATTTGGACAAAAAATAGAGGATAAAAAATTCAGAATTTTTTCAAAGTATAATTACTTACATATGCACAAATACAAACTTCATTTGAAATGCCAATTAGGCATCTAATCACATCAAATATACATTTCTGCCCTTAAATCACTATAGCCAAGAAATTTTCTATTTTGAGTCTCATTATGGTACATAAAACACTACCTTTTACTTTAAAGAGTATCGATAATTCACAATATTTCCTGTTCTTTCAATACATTATAGGTAGAGTTGACAAAGAAAACCAGAAAATATCTTTTTCCTGTAAATCATTCGAGCTGCAATGCTCACTGCTAGAACCCATAGGACATGCAAATATGATGGTGCATGCAAGAGCAACTTAGCGTTCAGTTAAGAAATAAACACAGGTACCGCTAATTTCTAAAATACGTTTAAAGCTTCACATATCAACCTTCCTTCCAAAAACATAAAAAAACTAGAGATCTCTCTGCCATTTCCACTGTGAATTAAACCTTTTTATGTTATTGAAGATGATGGAAAACGTGAGGAAAATGTTCTTAAGAGTTAGAACGATCTCATCAGCATTACTGGGGCATTCCAAATGTAATCAAAGAGGTAAACGGGAATAAAAAATACTCTCTGACAGATGAGCCTGCCATGTCATGGGAATTTGCAGCCTGTCTGCACAGAATGAATTTCCTTTTGAGGCAAAATGTTCCCTCTGATGCTGAAGGAACCAAAATACCTTTTTAAAACCACAGAACCGTTATAAGAACAGGAAGAGGTGCTGTGTGACACATCGCAGTTATGAGCCAGTAATACTGACAAACAGCTCAGAATCTACCCAAGTAGGCTGCGCTTCAGTGACGGCTTCGGGATGGTCAGGAAAATGGGAGGGGAGAAACCACTGCCTAGAAACACCTGCAATGAACTACTGCAGCAAACTATGGAAGACGGGGCTCTTGGAGTGATGTTGAGGAGGTCCTATTAAGTACCTTGTAAGTAATGCATTCCACTTTTATTAAATAATTGAAATTCATAACAGGCACTTTACTTATATTCCAAAAGGGTAAAAGGGTAGATCACTGAACCCGATGGCCTCAAAGGCAATGGCACCCAGATTTTTGTAACTTCCTGAATGGTACAGTTTTTTAAACTTTGGGGGTCCCAACATGGCTAAGTAAGAATAGTATAAAAACAATAACAGAAAAGCTCTATTACCACTATCATTTAAAAAGTGACACTTCAGTAATAAAAAAGTGGGTATATTCAGCTTTATGACAAACTCACCACACCGTCGTCCCCTTCTCATTTCAGGACTGACGGGCGGAAGTGCTACACAGACTGCTTGTCCCAGGCAGCACCGGTCTGCGGGGTTAGCTTTGGCTACCATTACCCTCTCCAGTCTCTTTCAACATGGAACAGAAATCATAGAGGCTAAGATCTTGGGACTCTGTAAATGTCAGAGAAGCTGAGCTTTTAGCTTATTTAAATGGAAAAGGACATTTGTCATTTTGAGAGGCAAATTTTTCAGCCAATCTATTTCTCTGAGTGATTATGTATTATCATCTAATTTCTTCACCAGCTGTTTTCCTTTCCAAATCGCTTTTCAAAATAGGTATTTTAGACATATAATTTATTGTAGCAATGGAGATCATTTTTGGCTAATACATTGTCTGGCACAAATAACGCCCCTTTTTATTACATAAAAATATTTTATTACAAAATCATATGTGTGTAATTCTGTAACATAAGAATATCACACACAAGCACATCATATGACATTTTAGGTGAAATGTTCAAACTACTGTCCATCTCATGAGAGACATTCACGTACCCTACCAATCACACTCAATGGCACTACTTCTGCCAGACCGTGTATTTATAAGGCTAGTTTAAAAGTACAGATTTTTTAAAGTAGTAGCTAGCTGGTTTTATAATATGCTTGAAATGATAGATCCAAACACTCAGAAAACACAAAAATTGATGATCTTGGAGTATTTCATTTGGAATAACAATCATTTAAACTACTTAGTTGAGTGTAGCCTCAAATTCTTCAAATAATCTCATGGTAATTGGACTATAGATGATCATAATTCTACTAATAGAATTTGGAGCTATTACAATATTTTAAAGATGCTGTATGTATAAAGGTAGCTGTTTTCTATCATTATCATCATAATGTCTTGAGAACCTCAACATGCAAGCTAGCCTACTCTGTCTGCACTGACTCTTTTGTTAGGAAATCAGCACCAGGGAGATGCATGATCCTAGAGGAAGAAACAAGTATCCCAAGAGTTCTCAGTCACTGAGCACGAGACCTCAGAGGAGTCATCTCATCTTTCTGTGTCTTAGTTGCCACAGGTTATTAATAACCTCTAAGCTTCCTTTTCAGTTATGACCTTTGGATTCCCAAAATTCTCAAGTGTAGTGCCTAGACAGATAAAACAATAAGCACCTTAGGAAACTACCTTTCTTCAATGATTACTTTATATATGTGTAATTGTCATCCTGTGTGTAAGTGAACATATATGGGAAGACGTATTACCCAGTGTAATTCCATCCACTTAAACCACTGATATTGATTGTAAACAACCTGTACCTGTTTCCAAAACAAACCTTAGCCCTCCAGAAACATTTGCCGCCATCAAGTACATCCAAGAGAAGGTGCTACAATTTGTGAAGGCTGTAATGAAACGTGCTTACAGCTATAGCAGCAGAGCTGAGGTAAGATAACAAGTATGAAGACAGCAACACACTTGTTGTTCATCTTGAAATCAACTTGGAGTTCCCCTTAACTGAACTTCACTTTCAGTCATGGCTTCTTCATTATCAAGAGTTTAGACTCCCTATCCCATAAATAATTTAAAAAGGAATGAACAGGGGGACAGAATAAGAGAAGGGCAACAAAGTAGAGGGGAACAGGATGATTACCATGAATGTCCCTGTCTTGGGAGAGAGCCGGGAAACAGAAAAAGTATACAAAGGCTTTGGAATTGCACTTTCTCATCTTTCAGGACAAGGAAGTCGAGTTTGTCAGGGACTGAAGGCACTCAGTTTGGAACTAAGGTTATGTGACATATACTGAAATGGGGGAGAAATACTTATTCACACTGGTTAAATAAAACGAGGCACACATAGCTTATATGTCCAATTTCATCTGTCTCTGGGACCATGGTAGGAACTCCGCATCATAAAATGCTGGAGGATTGATAATCACAATCAAGAAAAAGAAAAAAACTTTTCATATGAGCACCCTCTGTGACAAAAGCATAGAATTGAAATCAAGGATGATAGAGAACCTTCAAAATTTATAGTTTTAATTCTTCAGAATTTAATTTTTAGAATCTCATTATAACTTTTAATATGTATTTAGAGTGCTAAAATTAATATTCTATTTTAGTGAATGTATAAAAAAATTTAGATGAGCTTTCATAGGCTTGCTTGTACCCACAGAATTTCCCAAACATATTTCCTCCAATCTGATATAAATCTTCCAACTTTGAATCCATGGAGTTTGCAGACAAGAGTTTCTGAATTTGAGAATTTGGTTGTTTCCCTTCTTGTCACACTTTGCACTACAAAAGACAGAAATAAAAATGTGGCTGTGGAACCATCACTTTGGTCACACCTTTATGGGCTCAGGCGGTAAATATTTCCGCAGAAAAGTATTGTGTTCATGAGAAATAAGAAGGTACCTGCTAACCATAAAGTTTTTGAAGAGTTCAAAATAAAGTAAATTTCAGACAAATGATTCTATAGGTGAATCTATAAATTTTTCCTTAGTTAATCCAAATTGTACCTCTAGAATTCCATTTAGAGGTCTCTTTGAGCTTGCTGAGTAGACACCATGAACAAAGTTCACCCTTCCCAGTAAAAAAAAAATTGATGGACAAGAAGTTGTCATTGAAATTAAATGGTGGCAGACATGTCCAAGGAATACTGCAGGGATCTGATCCCTCTGTGCATCGCGTGGAGACAGCCACCAGTGGTCAAGAGCGCTATGTGGGAGTGGTGGTAGTCCGAGGAGGCAGTACGGTGTTGGACGCACTGGGATGGGTGTACAGAACGGCTGTGTTCACCACAGAAATCAACAGCTTCCACACGTTCCCTCGCCATAGCACCCACTTTGCTACATAAAAATAGGGCTGTATACATTTTCATGTTGAACTTTTTTGTTAAACAAACTTTTATAAAACACACAAAAACAAATTTTACTTCTTGTCCAATGCCTAAATCAAGTCCCACCTCCTTAACAAAACCCCTAGTCTCGAGAACTTTAACTCAGCCCCCCTCTGAAATTTAATGGCAGTCACGAAAAATTATTTACTGACTATTTACTAGATCTCAGGTAATTAACCCAGCCTTTCTTTCAAAAAGGAGAAAGAAGTAAGCAATTTGACAACCATACAAAGTCTTAGAATTCAATTTGACTATTTTATAGGTAGTGTTGGTATTATCTTCTCGATGGGATTATAATTCCTGAAGAACGAAGACAACATCTTGTCATTTTCTCTTGTGTAATTCTTAATGCCTAACTCAATATATTCAGTAAAATAAATGCCACTAGTATCTCAAAAAGTTATTCTGCACTAAAATGACTGAATTTTTTAAAAAAAATGCAAAAGGAAACTGTGGGAAGAAAAACATTTTAAATAATTAAGGAAGGTAATTTGGCTACGTGTATATGTAACTTTATATATAACTCCAATTCTAGGAATTTATCAAGTGAGACCACGCCGTTCCAGATGACCCAGTAGAGCTGCCAGATGACAAGCTGCGTGAGTCATCTCAGTGTGTCACCAGAAAAAACGCCCAGCCGAGCTCAACCTGTATGTACTGCTGACCTAAAATCCACAAGTTTCTTGTTGTTAAGCCACTAAGTTTTGGGATATTGGGTTATGTGGCAATATAAAGCTGATTTAATTGTATTCATAAATATTTTTTCTAATAGATTGGAAAACAATTCAAAAGTAAAATGTTTTTTAAAACACCAGTTTACTTATGTTTCTTTTTATTTTTAATTTTTTTTAGATTTTATTTATTTATTTTTAGAGAGGGAAAGGAGGGAGAAAGAGAGAGAGAGAGAGAGAGAGAGAGAGAGAGAAACATCAATGTGTGGTTGCTGGGGACCGTGGCCTGCAACCCAGGCATGTCCCCTGACTGGGAATCGAACCTGTGACACTTTGGTTCGCAGCCCGCGCTCAATCCACTGAGCTATGCCAGCCAGGTAAAAGTAACATATTTTTTAAAAATACAGATTAACCACATAAGAAAAAAACTGAACTCTGGTTAATGATGCTTGAGTACTCAAAGGGGGAGGAGTGTACCGATATCTACAACTTAGTTTGCAATACATAAAAACACAAGATGGACTGACAGACTCTAGAGAGAGGGCTAGTTCCCTTGATATGTGATAAAGCAAGTACGATAAAATATTAGTTACAGAATCTAAGTGGTGTTACTTCAATAGTTTCCCTCCCTCCCTCCCTCTTCCTTCCTTCCTTCCTTCCTTCCTTCCTTCCTTCCTTCCTTCCTTCCTTCCTTCCTTCCTTCCTTCCTTTCTTTCTTTCTTTCTAATTCCTGTCTAGCCTGATCACTTAAGGACCTAGGAGAATTTAGGTCTGCATCCCCTTTAAGGGTGTTGAACAAGTTGGTTAATTTCCCAGCAGTGATCCCCAAACTGGGACCGATCCAGCTGATGGCGCCTAAGAGCTGTTGTAGACTGTTAAGTGTCAAGGGGTCTGGTACCTGGACTATCTGAGCTATCTGAGGCCTAACCATATGGTGAAATAAGACATATCCTAAATGTTGCCAAGGCTGATAATGCTGTACCTTTTCTGCGGCTATGACTAGTTCTGCTGAGGAGACATTGTCCTCAAGACAGAGGTAAACCTGCTTTAGCTCTTCTTGAGAGACTGCAGCAATTAGGATGCCATTCCTATAATGATAAATAATACTTTAAGGAAACCGAGTCTGTACTGGCTGAGCAGCCTGATGAACAAAATGTTGGCAGATGGTAGGGCTATTTAACATGCCCTGCGGCAGGACTTTCCACTGGAACCTCTCCAACAGTTGAGAGTTATTAAGTGCTGGGCCTGAGAAGGCAAATGTCTTGCGGTCCTCTTCCTCTAGGGGAATTGTGAAGAAGCAGTCCTCTAAGTCAATGACAATAAGGGGCCACTCTTTTGGTATACATGCTGGATTTGGAACCCCTGGCTGAAGGGCTTTCATGGGTTGTAAAGATTTCATTAATTTTTCTAAGGTCATTTATAAGTCTTCATTTCCCTGTTTTCTTGGGAACTATGAAAATAGGAGTATTCCATGGACTGCTGGACGGTTCTATGTGCCCTGCTTCTAATTGTACAAGCTCTTGAACTTTTCTAGCCTCTCCTTTTTCAGCAGCCACTGGTTAACCCATGCAGGTGTATCAGACAGCCAAGCAAGGGACAAAGAAGAAGCCTGGACAGTGGCCACTAAGGAAAAGGCAGCAGGGTGATTTGTATTCCCCACTGAGTGAGGAGGTCCCTGCCCCAGATATTAAGTGGGGCAGGAAGGACGTAGGGTCAAATACGTCCAACTTGCCCATCCAGAACCAAAACATTTAAGAGTCCACACACTTTTGTGGGGCGGAGAAATGCCCCCTATCCCAGGTATAGAAATGTAAATGAAATAAAAATTCCTTTCTTGAAATTAAGCCTGCTGACAGCCTCCCAAGGCATGGGGGCTGCTGTCTCTTACCTCAGATGAGGTAAGAGATGAGATGACTGGCTGGAGTTCCCCTTCATGCTGTCTCTATAGTTTGTTTTCTTAACAAAAATGTTGAAAAAACAGGTTGGGTCATATGGTGCATTTACACTGTGAATATTATATAGCCATTAAAAATAATAGGGTAGAAGATTATAAAAATTGACTGATACATCTTTAAAAAGCAAAGTACAAAATAGAATATATTTTTGTAAAACACAAATTTAAAAGTATAGATATAGAGGGGAAAGAAGAACCTAAAGACATCTGCTAGATGAACCTCTGGACATGGGACGATGATGTTTTCTTCCTGCATCAACCCCTGTTCCCTGTTTCTAAACAGGTTTTGTTTCTGTATCATTGACTAAGTCACCCCGCACTGTGGCCCCCACAGAAGACACCCCAGATTCACCATCTAAGAGGGTCGGGGACACACCGCTGGCTTTATGCCTCCACATGTGCTAGCTCCCACACCACAGCCACCTCTTAGAGGACATGGGGTGAGGACTGTTTGATATCCTTTTAACACGGTATTTTCCAAACTGTCCTACTTAATTAGGAAAAGTTTTTAAAGTAATTAAGAGAATAGGGAAAATGTTTCAGAGGTTAAACATTTTTCATTTTGAAAAGAATTTGTTTACAAAAACAATGGTGTTCCCTGTTTTAGAATAAGAGAAAATGAATAAGGAGAATGGAATTCAGAGAATAGTAAGAGTTTGTTTAGCTATCTGAAGTATTTGGTACTAAAAGTAACTACATGCTAGAACAGAGGCTGAAGCTTTCCTTTTCTTGGAAACGGTATCTCCGAGAAAGGACACTATGTTAGTGGCCTCTTAAGATCTCTTCCCGTTTTATAAATTTTTTTTGAAGTAATGGCATCGCTGATATTTATATTCAGTCAGAATGTCAGGATAAAGCCAGATGTTACTAAGTAATTTGGAGACATTATTCCTTTCCTAAATTTAAACTAACAGAAACCTGGTAATGGGGAGAAGACAAGAATACCAAAAACAGGGGCTGAGGGACTCTGATCCGCAGACATCTAATTGTTAGCCAAAACGTACACAAATTCCCGAGTCTGTTTAACACTGGGGTAATTTTAATCCCCATCTGACAGAAAATAAAAAGAAAACATATCCCAGAGGTCACCGTAACATTCTCTAAAGAAATTTAAAAAATTAATTTTTATACCAAACAGCTATGCAAATAACAAAGCAATATCATCCTACAGTCTATGAAGAGTTTGCTGGTGTGTATGTGCATGCATTTGTGCATTTTAACCAGAAACAATAAGAAAGTTTGCCCATGTTAACGCACCTAAATATGCAAGACACCAAGGGAGAAAAGGTTTCTGTGAAAAGGGTGGTGGTGGCATGCAGCAGAATCGCAAAACTCGGGACAGAGTATTGTGAACAGTGTTAAACTCCGTCTGAAAAAAAAATCAATAACTATTTTCATTTCAATTTAGTGATAAACATAAATGTCAGAATGTGGAAATAAGTCAAAGGCTTTCTAACAGTCTAAAACCAACATAGGGTTTTTTTGTGTGAAGTAAAATCTAGGTTGAAATAAGAATCTTAAACATTTTCCATTACTTATATTTATAAATCGCAAGATAAGGCATTTAAAAATCATTAGTTATTCAAAGCTCACTGAGTGCCAAATTGTTTTGAAGGAAAATTCATAAAGTTCTTTCACTGGAATAAATTTCTTCTTAGCTTCTTAAAGCAAACAAGAGAAACACAGAGGTTGTTTTTATAGACCTTGCTGAGGTTCCAACTCCACTGTTAACATACACTTTTTCTGGGAAAACTGTCGGCCCAACACATGCTTGGTTATTACACTGGACACTTTTAAATTCAGATTGAAAAAATAAGACCAAAGATGTATGTGGAATCTGAGCCTCAGATTCCCATTTCTGAGATTTTTAATGAATGTTTTTGAGATTCTTTAAAAAAGAAACTATGGTTTCTTTTATTTAAAAAAATTTGCATAGATTGATCTTTAAATTTTAAGAAATGATTCTGACAAATTACTTTCATTTCCACAGAAGATAATGGCCCTATTAAACGAAATAATAATAGGGCATGGACTAAATGGGCTCTAAAAGAATATGATATTGATGTATCCACATTTTCCAGCTCATTCATTGCAAGGATTAGCTGCAACCAGTGCAGTGGCTATAAAATGTTGGGAGAGATTGGTCCCTAAGAACTGCCAGATGGTCAGAAGAAAATGTCTTACAATGGTGTTTGTTATTGGAGCCCTTCAGACAAGGACAGATATGATCTAGCTTGGAAAGCTGGCAGGTATTATGAAGTGTTACTTTCTATTTGTAAATAAACGATGCGTTTTTGTCACCCGTTTGACAAATGGAGGACAACAGAAATTTC